TAAGTAACAATAATTAGTCTTATTTTGCTTAAGCAATAGTTTTCGTGTAAGTTAGTTTAGAAAAATGCATAGGAATTGCATAATCGTGGAAGCTGATTAGGGAAGCTTGGCTGAATCCTGAAATATCTGACGTCAATATTTCATTAGTTACATCCTACATCTGGTAGTTAGAAATTTGATTTCATATTCAATATTGTCTTGGTATAATATAGGAAGATGTGCAAGGATGACTGTTGTGTGTTTTATTGAATTAGAGGGTTCTATATTTATATACATTCTCATAGTAATAAAAGGAAACATACAATTAATTACATATATAGATATTTTACTACTATACCCTTTACTTGATTATACAAAGAAACACTTTTCTATTTAGTGAATATTTCCCAACAGAAGGAAGTCTTTATTGGAATTTATAAGGTTGGAATCTGCTGTAAGTTGATTGAAGTAAGATGTGGAAGATGTATCTGTTCCTTTCGGGGCAGAGGGGTTGGGGATGGCTATTGAAGGAACGAAGAGGTTCTTAAAGACGAAATTCCTTCATTTGGTGAATGAGTTTTTTTTTAATCTTCATTTTCTAAAATTGTGTGTTTATACATAAGAGTATATGTGGTGATATGTATTAATTTGGTATGTGGTCATACTTGAAAGTAATTTTCTATGAACATAAAGCTATTTTTTTTTCATTTTGGAAACTCATTCCATATTCTCACAATCATTTTCTTTTTTAAAAAAGTAGGGTTCTAGTTTTAACCGCCGCATGTGTTTTTTATGTATAAATCATGAATTTAGAAAGTGAGAGTGAGAAAATTTGATCATGTACCAAACAAAATGTTTTATTTTCTCTTGTAGTAAGAAGTTTATTTAGAAGACACCAAGAGGATTCTCTTAAAAACTTTCTAAAAGACGAAATTCCTTCATCTGGTGAATGAAAATATATATTTTTTTTAATTTTCATTTTCTAAAATTGTGTTTATACATTAGAGTATATCTGTTCTTTATGTATGAATCATAAATTTAGAAAGTGACAGAAAATTTGATCATGTACCAAAACAAAATCTTTTATTTTCTCTTGTAGTAAGAAAGTTTATTTTAGAAGGCACCAAGAGGATGCCACTCAACTGCAAAAGCAAATTAAAATAAAGATTTTGTGAACTGCATTCAGATTATATATCTTCCTGAAAGTGTAAAATACCAAAATTTACAAATGATTTGGAAAGGTTGGAGGAAGCATGACCCTTTTTCCCATTTTGGTTTGGTAACCAAGCAAAAAGAGGCGCTGTTATTGGATTAACTTGATATGCATTTTTCATGTTTGAATCAGGACTCTGGTTTCCCATGCTTTAAAGGTGGTCCGCGCACAATACAGAACTTGAGAAAACGGTTCCATCTAAGTTTGACAGAAGAGGTCTGGTTCTACTTTTCCAATGGTATATCTTTACTCAGAATATTATTGCTAATGGTTCATTTCTCTTTGTTTCAAGCAGCAATGTGTGTCCTTGGTGCTCTCTCTGATCAGCAGCAGCTTAGATGCATGGCGGACACGGCAATATGATTACTATCAGAGGGTTTTAAACGGAATCTTGTGAGGTTTGATTTGGTTGGTATTCACCTAATTTTCTCCTTGTGTGAAGCCAGTCCAGTTTCTGACTTCAATTGAAAGTTCAAGAAAGTCATTTCATGTTCCAAGCACAATTGGTGCACTGGCCGCTGGCTGTAATTTCAGGGAATTGGTGGGAGGTAAAATGAATGACTGGTGGTAAACCTCATGGCCTGTCTTTGCTTGGTGTGAGAAATTTGTAATTGTATCGGCAAAAACACTAAAGTCTTGCCAGCTAAATTTAGTTGAGCGGAGTTTCTCTTTCATTTTTTCCCATTGTTGTGTAATTTGGAGCTCTGCTGGCTGGTGGGGGAATTCAGTTACACAAGGAGATACCTAACATTTGTACCCATTATCAGACAGCACACACTGTACAGAAAGATGTCTATGGAGGAGGCAGACCAGATATCAAAGCGGCTACCAAGATTTCCTTGCTGGCGAGGATTGGGTTTAAGGCGGAAGTTTCCACTGATCAAATGACCTCAGGCAGCCAAATTTTAGTTGAGTTTTTACATGCAACATTACTATTAAAGATAGAAAGTACGAATGATCATGCAACTGTATAGGTGGCCTTGTTCTGGTGGCAGCCATTTGATGGCATGTTTCACTGTAGTTTTGTTGGTCCTTAATTTTCTCCAAAAAGGGTTATCGTTAGCTTTGAAGAGCAACATTCTTGTGATTGTATCATTGTGTAATATCGTTATCGCTCTCATCTCTTCCGGTGAGAAATCAGTCATATGAATCTTGCAATCTGTAACCCTTGGTGTGATCTCTCGGCTAGCTTTCATGAGTTTAAGAATTTGTGTACCGTGATTGTATTTATATCCGAAATGATGGTTTAATTATGTTTAGCAGAAATTGAGGCTGAGCGACTCTTAAAGAGTGTCAAGATTATTTATGTTCTAAAACCTACACCAATAAACCATGTTAAGTAAGAATAGACAAGAAAAGCTAACTGAGAAGAGATGTTTTTGCAAAAACAAGTTGCATTTTACTAACTACTTGGGCGGGGATCCTTTAAAGGGACATGAAGTCATCATTTCTTTTAAGTGAGCGTCGCTCCCAATTCAGATCCAACTGGTTGAAATTGAATAAAAAAAAAGTTTCTTGGAGTTAAAAAACTGACAATATTAATCAAATTCAACCCTGAAAATTTCCAGTTCGATCTAAATTCTAAACTGGACTAAGCTGAATTTTGTTCAAAGAATTTACTTTTTAATTTTAAATATTAAAAAAATATAATATAATTCATATATTTTTATCCTTTAATTGTTTTTTTGTTAAAAAAATACCCAACAGTTTATATTCAATCAAGCTAAAAATTTTTAAATCGAACATCAAATTGAATTTATTGACTGCAGTTTAAAATTTTTCTCTCTAAATTGAATAATGCTCACCTCTAATATGTATAATAAGATAATGAAATAATATAACGTCTGAATAGTCAAAAGTTAACAAATAAAAGAGTAAGTTAGAGCATACAATCTCAATTTTATAAATACAATAAAATTGTAATTTCTTATTTTATTAGGCAATACATGATTAATGAAAAATATAAAATTTATTTCATTCTGTTCCTCTTCATAAAAATCTAACGAATTAGCTCTATATGAAAATAAATTAATTTATTATAAAAAATACATATTTTCAATTTTACTTTATTTAATTTAATTTTTTTATATATTTTATATACGTAATGAGGTATAAATAAATTATGTAGTAAATTTGCACTTTTAATCAAAAATAAAAAGTGAAATTGTGTGTTTTTAGAATAGAAGTAAATAAATATTGAATAAGATAGAATTACGAGAGAATGAGTTTAATAGAATTAAAATGGTATTTTTAATTATATATTAGATTATATTAAAATTAGGAAGACTAAATTGCATATTATTTTAATTGTCTAAAACACCTCTATGATATTATTTCATTATTCTACAAGAAGATTTGGGAACTTTTTCCAAATTTAGGCTTTTTTAATAATAACTAATAAAAAAATGGATAAGAGAAAAAGTAGAAATGCACATTAAAATATATTCAAAAAGTAGTGTGAACAAGACCCTCTAAAATCCTGGGTATGCCAACACGACGTCGTATGTGAATCCCATTTCTTGACATTTCAATGACACGTCGATTTCTGGCAACAAAAAAATATATATAAAAAATAATTTACAAGTCAAAAATCAGTGAAGTAATCCAGCCAATCAAAGGCCTTGGATTCTTGCTCAAGCTTCCTTCACCTGCACTCATCGCTCAAGCTGAAAGCCTCCCTGCTCTCTCCCCGAGAAACTGCTATATAAAACCCTATCATTTCCCTCTCGTTTCTTTCCTCTTTCGCTCTTGCGGTCTCGCCTTCCTCCGCGTTCCTTCTCTTCTTTGCTCACGCTCTCAGGGAAACGCTCTCTGTTTCTCTCTCCTCCTCTCCCGGCGCTCGCTCTCTTCGGGTACGATCTTGGGCTTCCTCTCTCATGTGTGTTTGGTTTTTGGTTAGGGCTTTCTGTTTGTGATTTCGAGGCTGCTTGTTGACTCTGATCTCGTCGTCTGATTTTGGGGCTCTTGCTTCATTGACTTTTTTTTTTTTTTTAATATCTTCTTCATATTTGGTTCAAGTTTTGGTTATTTTCTTGATTGGTTTCTTGGTGTTTAAGGTTTTTCCCCGTCATATTTTCTGCTCTGAATCATTCCATTTTCTTTTCAATGGAGTTTAATTATTGACTAAATTTATGCATTTAATTTTTTGCTGTAGTTTTGTGTTGCCTGCGATATGGTGTTTGTGTGTTTGGTTATTTTTATCGAAGTATTTAACATTTTTATTGGGTTCGATTTGTCTGGGTTTGCTTTGTTCTTGATGAGAAACCATGATCTTTGTTTAACTCCTCCAACTTTCATATTTAGCTATGAGCCTAATAATGTTTAAACAGGGTTTCCTTTGCCCACCAAATGTCTTTTGATCTCTGCCACGGTATTTCATCCATTCTTTTTTGGTGCGGCTTTGGTTTTATGAGCCGGGGGAGGTTTTGGTGTTCGCAGAAAATGTTTCGACATTGGACCTGACAGGTTCTTCTATTGTTTTTATTTTGTCATTTTATTTTATTTTCGCACTTACCAGTGTTATCAGATTATTCCGAGGAAAGATTTGTTGGTCGGTAAAAAATAATAAGGAAAGACAGGAGAAATTTGTTACTAGGACTTCATTACTCCTGAGAAAGTCGTTTATTACCATCAGAAAATTTTAGGTTGTGAAACATCTTAGGTTTTGGTTTCACTATGGGGAAAATGTCCCTAGCTCCTGGGTTTCGGTTTCATCCTACTGATGTCGAACTTGTCAAGTACTATTTGACAAGAAAAGTACTGGGGAAGAAGCTCCGAGTAGAAGCAATAGCAGAGGTTGACATCTATAAGTTTGCTCCCTGGGATCTTCCTGGTATGTAATCCCGTTCCCTGAAAATTGTTTGTTTGCGTTCTGTTGTGTTCTTCTATATATGGGTTGCCTACCCTTGAGGTTTGAGCGTTTGACCTTGATGTTATGTTGATTGCTTTTTGACTTAAATGTTCTAGTTTTTTAACCCATGTCTCAAATGGCGACTTATTTCCCTTTTTCAGATAAATCTCTTTTGAGGACTGGGGATCTGAAATGGTACTATTTTTGCCCAAGGGAGAAGAAATATGGAAGTGGGAATAGACTGAAACGAGCCACTGAATTTGGATATTGGAAAACAACTGGAAAAGATAGGCCTGTTCATTATGAAGAAAAATTGACAGGTATGATTAAAACTCTGGTTTTCCACCAGGGTAAAGCTCCTGTAGGGAAGCGAACAGATTGGGTTATGCATGAATACAGGCTTGAAGATGAGTATCTGGTTGAAAGGAATGTTGCTCAGGTAATCCTCTTTCCTTTATTTAACTGTGTGAAGTTTATATATAGTTGGAGTCAAATTGTCTGATGTGTTTGACACCTTTTCTGGTCTCTATACTTTTCGTGCGAACAAGCATGCATATTTTTGTATCTATTAGTGGTTTGTTCTTCAGGTATATACTTATGCCTAGTTTGCAGTCCTTTTTATGTCAATTTTGCAATTATTTCTTTCTTTTCTATCAGATTTTCTTGTATTTTATTTGGTTTGTCAAAAGAGGATACGAAATCCTACGCCCTTTTATTCTCTCTCTCTCTCTCTCTCAGTTAATATCCTTCTTTCCATATATAAAAAGATATATTTATTACCCCTTTTAAATCTTTCTTTTGAATGCCTTGTCAGTCTGCTGGTAGACACGTACCCTTGGACTGTCTTATTAGTTTTGAAAAATCTAAGGAACAGTTGACTTGAATAGGTTTAGTCCTTTTTCGTGTTAAAAAAAACCTATAGCTGCTTTGGTTTTGCTTAATGTAAAAAGGAGGGAATCGAAAGTGAATGAAATGAAAAGATCAAATTTGTTTAGGCTTCTGAGGGTACTCTGAAAATTTCCAAAAGTAGTTTTTTCATAGACAAAAGAAAGCATTCCAAAACTATTTTTGTCACGGCATCAATTCTAATTATTACAACATCCTCCCGATCGTGGAATAGTTAGTTAAGTTGCTGTCCACCTGAAGGTTCTGAAACAATTATTCTCTGATTGATACACGAAAGCGTTTTTTGTTTTTTGTTTTCTACACATGTTTATGGTCATGTTTGTGAACAGTAAAAACATTTTTAATATTCATGCTATATTTCTGGGTTACATTTTCTACTTCCACACGCATTTTCATGTATAAATATACCTTAATAATAGGACATGAAAGAAAAAAAATATTTGGGTACCAAGAGGAGCATTGGTTATTGTTATTAATTTCAAATAATTTGTTTGCATGCTGAATGATCATTCGACATGTGTCCTTAATTAATCACCCTATGATTTTTGCTTACTTGAATTCTCGATTTTATTGTTAGCTGACACACCATACTTTTGTATTACATAGGATGCTTATGTGCTATGTGTAATCTTCAAGAAGGATGGTTTAGGTCCTAGAAATGGAGCTCAATATGGTGCACCATTTAGGGAGGAGGACTGGAGTGATGAAGAACCTACAAATGACGATCAAACTGCAGTCACTTCTGCACTGGTCTCAATGAAGCGTAATAACCACATTAATTCCCTTGCTACAAGCTCACATGTTCACGAGAACCAATTTGCTGTTTCCCAACCTAAATCTTGTGTATCTAATACACCACATTTTGTTCTTGATGTGCATCCTCCAATCAAGGATACGGGTAATGCTTCCATGCCAATGGAGGTTCCTCAAGTTACAAGCGATTGTGTTCTTGCAATGTTAGATAGATTCACAGATGACGAGATTTTAGCATCCAGTGGCACTGGCCAAAATGAGGTATGAAACCTGCTGTACAGCTCTGTTTTTCCTATTAAATATTTTCAGTATTATAAAAGACTTTGCTATATTTATACCTTGGTCTGTTTGATGCAAGGAAGAAAAACTATCAACCAGTTGCTTTCATTCACAGGAACCTTGCAGTATCAGTAATGCTAACAATGTTGAAAAGCCACTCCAGTTGGATGGGAATGATATTTATGATGGATTGATGGACTTAGGCGACGTAGGAATAGTGAATGAAGTCGACTACAATCTTGCTGATTCTTATACCTTGAACAGAATGGAAGGATCTGATAATATGGCCTTCATAGAGTTACTTGATCTAGATGCACCCTTAAATTCCCCTTTTCAAGGTACTTTGTTGGAGCAGACCCCAATGGATGACCAACTTGCTGAGCGCACAACCTCATTTGGTTGATCCTTGTACAGCTGCTAAACCTACAACTGAGCCAAATCAATCTCATGTTTATGCTAGTCGGACCTTCTATTGAAATTATGGAACTCTTGAGTGCGGGTTGAGATGAGGACATCCTAGCTACGCTAGCTCTCTTTATTTGGCACATTGTATATTCTCTGATATCATGAGTTTGCCTACCACTTAGTTGAGTGGGCAAATGATTTTAGGAGAAAAATGTCCAAGAAAATGGGTTTTTGATGATTAGCAGATGCTTCTCCTCTCATCCTGCACTGGCACTGGTAAGTGCATATGATACTTTCAGAAGTCCAAATCAAGATATATTGCTGATCTTTTGGTATCTCATTTGACCGGTCTTAAACTGCTATAGTGATGCCACAGACGATTATTCAAAGTAGCGGTTTTGTTTTGTACGATATCTTAATTTAGTTTTCAATGATCGTGTAAGTATCAGTCTTTTTTGGTTGCTTCTCATATTTGTCTATATCAGGAGTTTTTGCGGAGCTCATCCCCTTTTCATCCTATGTTTTTAATGATCCTGGACTTAAAAACATTTTGATGTACCGATTGGTAACTTCCGGTAGTGATTGCGCAATGATATGCATTTTCCCACTGTGTTATCATTGATCCCACTTACTTATGATGAAGTATGTTGTTTTTGAGTCATCGGGATTTATGAGACGAGTGTGTTCGAAGCATTAGATAAAGCACACTCAGTCCTGCTTGATTTATCCTGAATTGCATGATCTGTTGTATTGGTTTGAAATTAATTGCATGACCTAACACTTGCAGGTATCTTTAATAATTATTTATCAAAAATGATTTTGTTGTACAATACATAAATAATATTGTGGCAGTTATAGCTAGTGTGTAAACATAATTACAAAAATCACAATTATGGAATCATTACATTAGGAGATTAATTATACTGCATAAAATTAAAAGATTATCAAGTCAAACCAAAAGCTCATATTAAGAAAAGTTGTTTAGAAAAAGAGGCCCTAAATCTTGAAATGAATCTAGAAAGGTGCAGAGGCTATGTCCCTAAATAATGGCAGCCTTACTTGGATCTGTTCGCCTATGTCCGTGTCCATATCCATCATCATCATCATCATCTCCCCGTTCGTATTCCCAGCTGCACTCCCCACTGGCCGCAGACCCTGGTGCGAACACCCGCTTTATATAAACATCTTATCTCATATATATATATATATGCGTATATTGTCTCGTATCAAATAAGTTTGTTTCATATGTACCTGAGTGAAAATATGCATGGCTTCCTCTATGCTTCTAGTGCGCATCACATACAACGCTTCTTCCTGCAACCCAATATTTCTACTCTATGAAAATCACCCATCAAAATCCAACAACCATAAACCATAACATGTATATATATATTATATATATATATATATATATATATAAACACGCACAAGGAAAAGAAAAACCTACTCTAGCCAGCTGAAGTTGCTCAAAACTCAAGGTTCTAGGCTCCGCGTCTATAGATGATTTTCTGTCAATCGGCCTCGCCATTTCTCCCACCTACCTGACCTTCTCACACCAATCCTCCGCCGACTGAGATCATATAAATTTATTCGATACAGAAAAAAAAAAAAAAAAAAAAAAAAACCCAAGATATATACACGTTCTCCTGACCAGAGGAAGAAGAAGAAGAAGAAAGATGTATCGGGTTTCTTGATTTGCCGCAAGTGACCACGTAAAGTTTTGCAGCAGCCTTATCAACCCAGAACAGATTGCATATATATATACACATATATCGACGCACAACATGAGGCCGCCGGTGAGCGAGTAAATCACGTAAAGTGACGTGCCGATTTGACACCATTTGGATGAATGCACGTGGCAACGTGGCGTGATCTGATGAGACACGACGTATCAACATGTTGTGTAAATGGAAAACTTGAGAAGTGTTTCTGGTTAAATTAAGTCTGGGTGTAGTCGGAACCAACGAGCCGGTGACACGATCACCCAGGTGGAGTCGGTTCGATTAGGACACGTGTCTCATCGTCATGGGGGCGGCCTCACCAGACTCACGGTAAGTTTTAGAAATGATTAACTAATTATTTATAAATAAATTTATTGCTTATAATTTCTAATTTATAGTTCAATTATTAGTCGTGAAAATACAACTTACTTTTGGTTATGCACAGAATTTATGATTTAAGTTTACAATTAAAAGATAAACTAATTAGTGAGAAATGGGAGGAGAAGATACTTGGGCCACAACTTTGGTTTCTGAGATCCGGCCTTTTATTTTCTTGAGATTTTGGCAAGGTATGCTTTAACTTGAATTCTGGGTATCAGTCTTGCCCTTCTCTACATGTATATATATATATACATTATATTATATTACCGCCTTGATAATTTTTCTTTTGGGTGAAATACTCACCTTTTCTGTATATTTATGAATGATTTCACCTTTTCTAATTAAAGATAATTGTGAAAATCATCTTGATCAGATTCGGTTGTTCTTAAGGGGATGTAGAATATTTCTTAAATCTCTCATTCCCATTCACAGATATTGAGCTGTATAGCATTAGATACAGTGAAATATCCACACCCACTAATTTTTTTCTTAGAAAAAGAAATACAAAACTTTCTTAGCAACCAAACAAGTTTTGCATCTTCCACTTTCAGAATAAGTACACACACACACACACACACACACTCTCTTGTGTCTGAGAATACAATCATTAGTGGAGTGAATTAAGTAAATTATATATTTAATTTTCTTCATTTTCTTCGCCCAAAGCCAACTAACATAACCGAACTACCTTCCAAAATTCCACCATTTCCAAGGATGATGAATTGCAGATTAATAATAATTAGAATCATTTACAGCAACATTAGTTTTCGCTAATTAAAAACAAACACCCCCCCCACCTCTCAATAATAAAGCTATCTTCTTCCTTCTTCTCTTTCACAATCTCTCACTTTACTTTCCCACCTCACACGCCGCTTTTTCTCTGCCTGTACGGGCTCCGACTCTACCCTCTCTACTCACCATGGACGATTCCGCTCGCCGGAGAACTACTTCCCGCCACGAACCGCATTATCGACGGCGATCGTGGTGTTGCTACTTCAATGCCCCTCCTTCCAGTCCCGAAAACCGCTCTCTCTACTCCTCTAACCACCACCATCAGAAAATGCGTCAACAACAAACAAAACCCGATTTGCTCTCAAAGCCCGCTTACAACTCGGTCCCTAACTCACCCCAGAGCGCCAAATCCGGGTTAACCATTGTGGGTCGGATTGACCCTCGTCGTATCTTGTCCCCGGGCCGGGTTTCCCCTATCGACTCCGATCCCATTGTGGGTTCAATCCAAAAAATGTCCCACGAACCAATACCGGTCGTTGATTCAATGCCCAAGTCCCGATCAGAGAGTTTTCGTGCCCCAACGATTGGGATTCCAGGGCCGGGTCAATATTCGGGACCCGATTCTGGTTCGGCTGGTGGAGAGGAGAGGGAGGAGGTCTATGATGCGAGGCTCAACATGAAGGGAAAGAACGGCGCGGTTTTAGTTTTGGAGCTCAATTCGGAGGTTTTGGCTGCGAATTCGGAGGTTTTTGCCGAATTGATATCGGAGCATAAAAGGGGCTCTTCTTCAGGTTCGAATAGAATGTGTAGAATAGAAGTACCTGAGGTGGATAATTTGGGGGTTTTTAGGGAGACAATAGAACTCATGTTTGAGGACGATGAGAACATAACCAAGAAACTCTTGAAGATGGGTGTTTATAGAGCTATCGATGTGCTTGAGGTTAGTATGCTCTTACTCTTGTTCAACCTTTCTTTCTTATTGGTTTCTCAGTTTTCCCAAAAAATATGTTGTTTCTTTATCTTGTTTGATTCGCTTTCTGTTTTATCTTTCTTGTATTCGTTCTTTCTCTTTGTAGATTTTTTCTTTATATGCTTCATAGTGTGTATACGCTTTGTTAAATATAGGAAATGGTCTTGTTTGAGTTTATATAGATAAAAGTTAAGTAGCTTTTAGTAAATTAGTTTTCAATTCGGAAGATTACTAAAATGCAACTTCCTATTCATCTAACCGGAGTTCAGAAATAACTTGATTGCTCAAGGCATAAGAATCAGCAAGATTATAGCCAACTTCATTCACTATACCTAAGTCGCCTAAGTCCATCAATCCATCATAAATATCATTCCCATCCAATTGGAGTGGCTCTTCAACATTGTCAGCATTATCGATACTGCAAGGTTCCTGTGAATGAACTCGATTGTGCATCCTTTCTCACAATTTTGTGAATTGACATGCCTTTCCTTATATGTAACACCCAGGAACCTCACCTAGGAGCAGAAACTAGTTCTAACAGATGCTTTGAAATGCTTACCTTTTGGAAAAAAAGAACCGATGTTTTAGAGATATAAAATGTAATCTTCTGAGACCTGCCCCCAAGGGAACTTGTGGATGAAGAAATGTATAGCAGATTCTTTTTCCATTCTTTTTTTTATTTACTGGAAGATCAAAAGCCGGTTGGTTCCCTTCCCTTCCTTCAAGAAAGAGTTTTTTATTTTTTATTTTTAAGCTTTTTAGGGGCATGTCTGGATAAATTTTTGAAATTGATTCTGCCATCGAGCAGAAGTATTCTCCAAATTAACTGTGATAGGGAAGATGGTACCTATCTTTTCCAAAAACTCAAAGCAATAAAGACTGGAGGAGCTTTGTTTTGGTTTTATATGAGTCATCCCAAATAGTAAAGCTAGAGTTGAAGTAAGTGATAATGTAGAATTTTTCCCTTCTTTGTGATTGTGAATTGATCATCTCAATCTTATAGATCGACTAGTTCCATTATCTACTCCTTTTTCGGAGTACGTCCGTTTATAACCTACATGGTTCGCTCTGATATTTATAATTTCCTTCATATTTTGTGCACTTCTATAAGTTTTAAGAACACTAGTTAGTTTATATGGTAAAGAAGTTGTATGGGTTATAGAAATATTTGGGCTACTTGAGAAGAAGGATAAGTGTTTCTGGGGGGTGTGGACTATACCAATCTAGACTCTCTCTTCCTTCCAATCCCTCTCTCTTGCTACCCCCAATAAAAATGTTGCATAAGGCATTCTCTTAGAAAGCAGTTGTATCATATGTTCTGCTTAGAAGTTAGTCTGTTCCCTGTAGTCATGCAATGCAGTTGATTAATGTGTCTGGTCTAAGTTGACTTCCCATTTTTCATGCTAAGTTAGTCGACACATCCGAAACCAACATGAGATAACTGGAGTGTTTTTTTTTCGGTTTAGTTCATTTCAACTTTCTGACTCCTTAAGCTTAGTGGACAGTTTTAAAAAGTCTATGCAGAGGTAGAGCTAATGGTGCAAGCCAAACAGAGTTCAATTTTTATCTTTTCATGCCTTGGGTGCAGCCAATGGTGGAGGGAGGGAGCCTACGCCCTCCGTCCTCCATTCCTTTGTTCCTCTCTCAAAAGTAATATACAGTATTACATGCATTATTAGATGCATGCCCCCCCCAGTTACCAGCATAGTCTCCTCCCTCACTGTGCCCTGCCCTAAATATTTCATGACAAAACAGCCCCATTCTCTCTCACTTTAAACATTATACCATTTTTATAATATTTCAATCTTGAAAAGGTATATATAGACTACAAAGCTGAAAAATATATTTGCAATATAAAAAATTATCTTATATATGCATATATATTCTATATGAAACATTAAATTCAAGAATTCTTTAGCCTTAGAAAGTATTATTAATAACTAATATCGGTTTTAATTGTTTGAAGTTAATCTGGCTGGTGTAATCTTTTACAATAACAAAAAACTATATATATAACGATTTTCTACACAAATAAAAATAAATAAGAAACAAATTCATATAAGATTTAGAAGAACAAATAATAAATCTCGAAATAGTAACAAGTATATAAATAATTAATACATAATATACTGCAGCTCCAACCCCACCCCCCACCCCCCACCCTGTCTGCGATGAGATTGCTTTGGTATATAAGTGGCAACCCCCTGCTGCCTTTTTAGTATTCATCCTTTAGTATCAAATACATGATAGAAGTTCTGTAGCAAGTTTTGCCTTTTAAGATTTATAACCAGATCTGTGAGAATTGCATGTCATATATAAGAATTATCAAATGTAATGCTTATGAATAACAAATTGATGTAAGATCATTGGAGGAAGTTTTAGATTTGGCCCTTGCTTTTCTTAAGTTCTCTTTAGGGGATGTCTAGCACTGTCGAGAAATTTGGGCTTGGGTTGGTATTGTCGTTCCAAAGTCCAAAAGATGATCATCGCCCTCATTCCCTTGTGTATTTTTTGGGTCATTTTTGAAAATTCTTCCTCATTTTTTCTTGAAATTAGAGATCACTGGTTGAAGATTTTGAATATTCTGCTTGAAGGCAAACCCATTCAAGATGCGATCAATATTGTAGATCTTTCAGATACTTTGTCTCTGATCTCTCAAAATACTTTTGTAAGTGGGTGGCGCGAATGTGCCTTTTCAGGGAATAAATTTCTTCTTTTATTATGAATGAAGAAAATGGTATGCCTTTGGGCTTCTATTTTCCTTTAATGTCACTTTTGTCAATCTTATCTCATGTCAGGGCTTAATTATTTGGCACAAAGTTACACCACCATGATACTGAAGTCAAATTTACTTAGTTTTCATACTCAATGTCCTTGATTATTTTTTTTTCCTTGCAACTTCCCATAGTAGGAAGTTGAAGTTGGAAGTTTGTATTCTATTGAAACTCTTGGTTTAACTCAAAAGGACATGGAGTTGTTAAAACTATACTGGGTTGTAAAGTTAGTTCATAAAATATAGAAGTTAGGATATATACATTTGTCATACAAAAAAGAACAACTATTTTTCAGTCATTCTGTGAAGTTAATAACATTTATCAAATGTTTAAAATGATTTCTTGACTAGCAAAGGTGTCCCTTTCATAAAATTAGGTGGTTATCATACT